TCCGTGTGGTGGCAGCACCGAAACGGCTTCTCCGGGTTACTCGACACAGGCGTGGAAAGGCAAAGGGCCCTTCATGGCCTGCCACCCTCCAGCACGGGCCTCCCTGTCTGCTGGGCGTCGAGATGTGAGTGTATTTGTGGGGTTGGGTTCCCTACGTCCCTCGGGGTGCTCAGCGGTTCCCTGCCGTGGTCACAAGGACGAGGCCACGGGCCGTGGTCTCTGGTAACTCAGACTGAGGGGGGGCTTTGCATTCTTTGAGTCACTCCTCCAGCTGGTCGCACCAGAGCCGTCCTGCCCCTCAGACATGCTTTATTCCCGGGGGTGGGGGGAGCTGCCTTTCGGAAGCAAAAGGGTGCTTTGGATTCTCCTTGGCCCGGGGAAAGTCAGTGGCAGCTGGGTGTTTGCAGAGGACAAGGCCATCAGGAGAAACACCTTCTGTTCCGCTGGCCGGAAGGGTTGAAGTCCAGGGGTAGCGCTGGGATCAACCGCGGTTCACAAACACAGCCCCGGGCATTCACCCGCCGCAGGGTTCAGAGCTGCAGTTACAGTCCCATTCTCCCAGGACCGTTTACCTTTTCCCTTCACCTGCCTGAAAGGCAAAATGACACCCCTTTACCCCAAAAAAATTCTCCCCCAGCTTCCTCTGGTGTTTCTGCCACTGCCTTTTCTGTCTTCCCTCAGCTGCTACCCAACCTGCCCCCTGCAAGTGACACCAACCTGATCCAAGCTCAGCACCAGGCTCAGCTGGAAAACTCAGGAGTTTCACAGTTGTGACTCTGGCTCACACAAGCCACAACCCTGCAGGGGCTGAGGCCAGGAACAGCCCCGAGATTTCAGTTTTGGTAGCACTGAGGGGGCTCTGCACTGAAAACAGGCACCGCAACGCCAAGTGACCCACTGATCCCACAGCTGCCAGATCCAGGCAGCTGCCAGCGATCGGATCAGGTCAAACTCGGGGTTTCTGGTGTCGGTTACAGAGCTGAGGGGGTAACAGAGAAATAATGAAGCTACAGGTTGGGCTTGGAGTGGTACCGTGAACCACGCACAGTCTCGTTTGCTGCCCCGGTGCCCTCTTGCGCTTGCTCCGTAGGAGGGGATGATGGCTGACTGTGGATCCCACTGTAGGTGCAGAGCCCGGCTGTCTCCCCCGATATTCAGCAACTCCAAGGAGCAGCAGCAGTAGCGCTGACCCACAGCTGAGAACTGGGAGAAACTTGTCACACACACCCTGCCAACAGCAGCTCAGCCCTCCTAGCTCACTTGCCCCATGGTTGAGCTGGCAGGTATGCTCGCTCCAGGGCTAAGCACCTTCAAATCCAGCACAGTCTGGTTCCTACAGCAACGGGAGACCCCACTGTTTTATCAGGGCCAAAGCACAGACAGGGAAACTGTAGGATAAATGGGAGCAGGATCCAGCAGTGCAGAGGCAGCTCCCCCAACCTGGGTCCTTGCTCACCCACAAGGTCACTTCTGAACTGAGTGGGTGCTGGTTTTTGACCCCAAGAGCCTATAAATCTGGGAAACTAAACGCAAACAATGTCCTACTATTAAAAAAAAGAAAAAATAAAACCAAACAGGCCAGGTGCAGTGCCAGGCCAGACTTTGCCCAAGCAGGTTTTTCAGCCGTTTGTGCCCACTCCCTCTGGTAGGAGGTGGAAATGTTTCAGGGAGACAGAGGCAAGAACGGCAGGAGCAGGGATCTGGGGGAGCCAGCAAAGGACTGACAGGAGCCCGGGCTTTCATGACACTTTCCTCCTTAGCTCATCATAAAGCCAACCCGGGACAAGGGTGGCTTCCTGAGTGCAGTCACGCGCTGCTACGTGGAGAGCAGAGCCTGGAGCAATTGAGCTTTGGTCATCCCCGAGTGTTTAAGCTGGGCACAGAGTTTGTCAGCACTCCTGAGCGAGGCACACAGCTCCAACTGCTTCTTCTTGGCCGGGGAGCCAACCTCAGAGCGCCAGAGGTATTCACAGGGGCTGCAGAGAGCACAACCCCCCCAGCACCCTCATTCAGAGGCGCTGCCCCCTCCCAGCTCACATCCCAGCCTGCACAGGCAGCTTGGATCCCTTCTGCAGGAGAAATCACACGCTCTACCTGGAGATAAGCCACTTTTTTTTTTTTATGTTGCACTGCAGTTTTAACAAAGATACAAACATGCAGAGTAACGCCACTTGTCAGCGGGAGCTCAGAAGAGAACGCAGTGATGCCTGTCAGCAGGGAGAGAGGCTCTTGGAAAAGAGGCAGGAGACATGCTCCCAGCAAGAACAGCACCCCCAAAGACCCCCCCACATCCTCTCCCTTGCCCACAACCAGACTCTCCAGCCTTCCCTTGCCATAGGAGAGCAGGACAACCTCTCCAGCCATGGTGGCAGCCTCCGTCAAACTCTGCGGGGCTCAGGCTGTTCCGCTTCTGGCAAGAACAGAAGCAGCGGCAAGGAGGAGCTGAGTCTGTCTCTACTGTAATAGCTGGTTTTTTTAGACTGGTGTTTTCCCTTCCCAAAGAGGCAGAAGGAGAGTTATTTTACAAAATAAACTGGCCCTTGTTTTCACTGGAGAGCAGGAAAGCTGAGGGGGAGGGAGTAAAACTCAGGAGTACCTGCTGCCAAACCGAAATGGCAAAGAGTGGATTAGTGGCTCTGAAGAGCCAGGAGATGAAGCTAAGCGATACAATAAGGATATATCCCAAAACCTCTCAAGCCTGGCTCCTGTAGCCCTAACACCCTTTCTGCTCTCACCCTCCTAATTGCCATTTGGAAAGCGTCGCAGATGGCTCCGACTGGAGCTGCTGCAGGTCGCTGCTGTGGCCTTGCCATCTGCTCAACACAGGACAACTGAGGACGACTTCATGGAGCTGCCTCCACAGCAAGCTCGGGTGGGGATGTTGGAGGTGTGTACTTGCCCAAGGCAGGGGATATCCGGCAACACGTATCCTGCCCCGTTCGACGGGCTGACTGAAAGAGGCGGGGGGAGAAAGGGAGGGCTCAGTTGAATTTAGCCTTTGAAAAGTCCATTTCTGGATGCTGTTCCATGAACCTGCAAGGAAAATGAAGACAAGAGCTGAGTATGAGTCAGCAGGAGCCGCAGAACAGCTCTGTTTGGGGGGGTAAGGCATCCCTACTTCCTGCACTACCAGATTTGCTTCCTCCCCACGCCCTCCACAGCAGGGACTGTTTTGCTGAGCTCCTTGGAACACACTCCCCACACTACAAACACTTTTTCCTCGGGTCAGTGGTATCAGCGATCCTACCGGCCACCAGGGTCAGCAAGTCCAGACACATGGGAGTTATTAATTATCAGACACACACCCTTTAACTGTTACCTCTCGGACAGACACGTAGCAGCTATGACACTGATTGTGGGGCAGAGGGGAGATTGTGAGGGTAGATTAAGATTTAAGCTCAAACTTGTTAGCTTAAGCATTACTGGGGTCACGAGGAATATCTCCGGTGCTGCGACAGTGAAAACTCATAAAGGACGCGACCAGAGAAATCTGGTTTCAGACTAGGTGGAACGCAATTTCAAATGTACTGCAATCCCAGCAGATAGGGCTATTTGGACTCAGGTTGCCACATCAGAAAAGTTCTGAGAACAATACGCTGTGCCTATGAGTGATCAGCAGTGATTAGTGTACACAGAAGCTCCTGGGCTTCCTCCTTTGCCCTGCAGTTCATCAAGGGAGACAACACATAACCACGGGGAGGATTCACACACAAAGCACAAGCAAGGGCAGGCCTGTCCTCCTCCGTGCTCTCATCTCCCCGTTTCCCCTGAACCGCCACCACAGTGCTTCCACTTTCCATTTCCATGGAAACAGGGTGCTGCGAGGAGTGTCCTTGTCTAGCAGCCAGGAGGGCTTCACTGGCAGAGATTAGGACCCACCTGGGTGTCACCACATCTACTTTAGCCTGAACAAAGTCTAAACTTCCTATCCATTCTTTACCAGCCAATCTGCACACCAGCCAAACTTCCAGAGCACTGAACGAGTGACCTTGCCAGCAAGATACCCTGTATGTGGACTTCCCAGGAGGAGAGGGCTAACTTCCCCTCTACTAACTCAACAGACAGGCACTAAAGAAGTCTGATCTCTGCTCTAAAAGTTCCACCCTACACCGTACTTGGCACGCTGATCACAGTGAAGCCTCTGCCGCTGCAGATAAGCCAAGGAAGAAAAGGAGTCAGGCCTGCTACACTAATCCTCTTTCCAATCCCGAAATAAGATGTGGGTTTGCATTTGCTGAAGAAGCTGCATGACCCAGAATTGCCTCCACACCTTCCCAAATGGCCTTGGGAGCTCCCTGAGTAACTTCCCTGCCAAGGTGTGTTTATGCCAAACAGGGCAATAAAGACATAAAAGTGCTATTGGCCTGGAGACAGCTGTCTGGTGGCAGGTGTGTAGGGAGGGGCCATTATCTGGGCTACTGAGCAAGAGGGAGATTAGAAAACAATCAAGACCATGTTAAAGTTCAGCAGAGATGGCACCTCCAGTCCCAAACATGCTTTCTGGACTTGAAATCAGCAGATTAAGACAATTCCAGAGCTAGGCTATTCCAGGAATTTCCCGTTATGCTTTCTACCCCCACAGGCTTTTATAGGCACTAGTGGTTGGCCAACAATTCAATGACCATGTAACTGCAGATGCGAACACAGGTAGGATTGAAGGCTGACCTGTTTTCTGCTCACATATTTGTGTCAAAGAGGAGAGGGGTTTGGGAAAGCAAATACCCACAAATTAACGAGGTCTACGCACTTTTTCAAAATGTCTTGCTTCTTCTGTTCATCAGATGTGGGGAGGCCCATGGATTTCTGTCGTTGATCGTACATCATTTTCTCCACCATACTGCGAGTTTCGCTGTCCAGATCTGACAACTAAAAGCAAGGACTTCCATCAAAATTGGAATAACTCAACTCAACCCACATGTACACCCTGCTTGCAGAGAGCACAAATACGTTGAGGTTATGCTGTGCTGTGCGCGGGGGCTGCAGAACAGACACTAATCTGTAGAATCGGCTTCATGCATTTGAAGTTTTGGGGGTGCTTATGTTCTACCATAGCATCATACACAGCAGTACTCCCAGTATTGGTTTTACACTGGTAAAAAACAGACGTAGAAGTTGAACGTGAGCAGAGCATGAGCACATTTACAAGAAGGCTCCACTCCATAAAATGGAGGGGGTTCATACCTTTGAGTTCTCTGGATTAATCTTCTTGGTGTTGATTTCCGGGTCTGTGGAGACTAGTTTGTTCCACCATTCCATCTTGTTGATCTGAAGGATGAAGCAGCAAAAATATTTTATTTTTCCTGGACTTACTCTAGGAATTTTAAGTCTCAGTCACAAGAAAAAGCTGCTGGAATCAAACTTTGACAGTTTTCTACATGTCAGTAAAATCTGAACATGCATAAAGGGTATAACTTTCATTCCTAAACATTTAGGTAGCCTCAATTTCCACAACCGGGAAATCTGAAAGCGTGTTAGATGTCACGTTTGGCGTGACATAACCAGGATTACAAACAAATCCCTTGGAGAGGCCCAGTAGGGACACTACCAGCAGTAAGGTCTGTTCCTGGATTTTCATGTCACTAACAGATGTCAAACCATGTTCCAATAAGGAACAACTTTAAAATGACTGATTTCCTTCCAGTTTTTCCTGAACTGCTGAGCAATTGACTGGATATCCTGGATTAGCATAAAGTTGGGCTGAAAACAGGGGCAAATTGCAATACTCTGTTTCCAATAGCATCACTGACACGGTACCAAGGATAAGCATGGCTCTTATGCTTCAGCTGACAAAGCCCAGGGCCGTCAAAGGTTTTGTCAGACCCTTATTTCACCAGGGAAGAGGCAGACAAGCCTGAATCTTCCCTGATTCATTCTGCTTTACCTTCTCCAGGTGCACAGTGACTGTTTTACCATCTTCAATCAGCCAGGAGCTCTCCTCCACCTTCACTTCATTGAAAAGCTCTCCATCAATGATGGGTGAATGGCCCTTCAGGCCAATTTTGAGGCGTCGTCTCTGGATATCTACCACCACATCCTTCCCCTTCAACCTGAAGTTCACCTTGAAAGGGATGGCCAGCTGGACCAGACAAAGATCAGATTTGAGGAGCTGAGCAGTGAAATCTCTCCTTACCCTCTTGTGCTGCTGTTCTAAGACTTTCTGCCTTGGTTTCAAGGGAGTAAGACAGAGCACGCAATATTTTCCTTGGGGTACTGAGTGAGCAGGAGGTGAAAGGATACAAGAGTAAATTTGGCAACAGGGACCATAAAAAGGGAATCAGATTTTAATGTCTTGTTAAAACAAGACCAAGGTTTGGCAAAGTTAACTACAGCTTCTGGGAATTGTATTTAGTTACCAAGCTCTCTCCCAGCTATTGAAATGCCGCCACTCAGTACAACTAACAACCTTCCACAGGCCACCGAGGTACAGGGCATCGGCTCCACCATTCCTACCAGCACTCGCTCTTACTCCCCATCTCAGATTCCTCGGATCCTGCTACTAAGGCAATACTTACATCCAGTTCTGAAAGAGTCTGTGTCCATCTATAATTTGGAAGGTCGGCTCCATTGCCAGAGTTGGGTTTAAGTTTTCCTTTATCCTTCTCATCTTCCTCTTCGTCATCTGTTTCCTAAGCAACCAATTTAAAGTGTAAAGAAGCTTTTCAAGTTTTCAGATATCACTTGTAACAACAGTTCTAGTTTTTGTAAGAATTTCAGGTCAGCTACACATATTTGATATTCACATAAATTTAGCCCAAAACAAACACGTGTTTCTGTTAAAACACAATTACAAAAAAAAGGAAAACAAAACACACAAAAAAAATCCCATTGAAATCTTTGCGAATTAAGTGTGTATTCTCAACGTATTCCCTCACATTCACAGCAGTTCTCATGGTTGCCCAGAAACCCATTTCTCTCAGACTAAAATAAAGTGCCTAGAGGAGCTTTACCTGTTTGTTAGAATCCGAAGATTCACCTTCATCCTCCGAGGGTTTCACTGGGACATTGTTACCCTGTCCTTGCACCTCTTTTTTCTGTTTACAGAGAAAACAAACACACTCAGACAGCGCTGGCACTTTGTGTAACTTGCTCATCTGACACTAGGTGGCCTCAGCCTCTTCAGCTGAGGCTAAAGAGCAGGACTCAGAACTGCACCCAAGACTGACGGGGAATTTTCAGCCTTTGGAACAGCATTAGAGGAAAGCGGTACTGCCAAGGGAAGAACCCCTTGGTCCTCACACCTTGGGGACTGTAGCAGAGGGTGTTGCTACCATCAGAGAGCTTGTTGAAGGCAGGAAAGCCGAGTTATGGGAGAATCCACATGAAAATGCAATAGTTTGGCCTAGGCTCATTTTAATTACGAAGCACAGCGGTCTGGCGGTCCAGCCACTGCAAAGGAACAAGCCTTGAGCCATTTCACCTACTCCCTGCTACCCGAGCTACGTGCAGGCCAGCAGAGGAGATGACCTAGGTGGTACCTGCGGGCACCAGCCAGCCCTCTCACCTGGTCAATCTCCAGCTGCAGCCTTTCCGCTTCCTCATCCGTAAGTTCCTTAATCCTCGGCTCGTTTGCTTCTTGCTTTTCTTTAGCAAGTTTGGCAGCTCTCTCTGCCTTTTCACGCCGCTCTGCCTCTTGACGAGCCTTTTTCTCTTTCCGTTCCTTCTGAGCTAGTTTGTTGTGATGGTTGAAGGTATCTGTGATCAGCTGAAAGAGAAGAACACATATCAAAGGGTTTAAAAAAAAAAATAATCACTTTTTCAAACCCAAATGAAGCCAACTCACTGTCTACTGAGAAGCATGAGAACATTTGTTAGTCAGATGTTATGACTTTTTATTTTCACTCTAATCTGTTGACTGAAAATCTAGATTAGGAGAAAACTCAAAATATTTAAATGTAGCCCTTCCTACTTCTTCCTTACACAGGGAGTGTATTTCCACGGAGATGACAGAAAAATAAAGATTCTCCAGTTACTTTGGCCTTTGTGCAGCAGGACAAAGGACGAGCAGATGCCTAACCCCCAGCCATTTGACAGCTACTCAGTACCTCTAGGACAGCAGGAAGAACAGAGACCCTGGACCCAAGTTTTTGTACCTTTCCCACAACTGGGCTTTTCCCTGGGCACTAGACAGAGATTCAGCATCACGATTTAGAGGAGAAACAATTTAAAATCCTGGTGTTTTCCACTTAGGGGCAAGTTCCTACATAAATCTTTGCTTCACACCTCACTCCAAATTCTCATGTTGTTGTGACTACAAAAAGCAAAATCTCAAGGCCTCTGATGCAAACAGCCACAGTGCTCACAGGGAAAGATGAGTACACAGGCAGAAAGCCAGAGCAATTGTGCCGCGGTCGATAACGCCAGCAGCGCTGTGCAAAGCAGCACGTATGAGAAGTGAAGTCTGCTCCAGAAAACAATATAGTCAGAACCTGTGAAAAGGAATTGGAGTGGAGAAGTTTCTACTGGTTTATATATATTCCAGAAACTTCTGGGGGATTCAGCACCTTTCCAGAGTGACTCAAAGCATCCATGCCTTGTAGTTTTGTAACCAAGTATTTCTGCTTTGTTTTAAAGGGGAAAGCAAATTTATTTACACAATGCGAGTGCAGCGTCTCCTAGGATACAGAATTCAAGGCATGCATCTCCCAGCCTCTGTTCCTAACCACACGATGACCCACCACGAGCCAACTATTTACAGTGCCCGAGCTTGTGAGCGCGCACACACCGCACTTCTCTCCGCGTACCACCACACCCCCCTCACTCTGCACCACCAGGGCTTCTGATATGCCACCCCATAAAAGATGACTACTTTTCCACAGGCTGCAGGACTGTGGAAGAGGCTGCTTCTTTTTTTTTTGTGGTTACTGTGGTGTCAGGGGCTGTATCGAGCACCTTTTCAGAAGACCATAAAGCATTTTAACAGATACCGCCCAAGGACACAAACACTTTTCCTTTACAGACAGGGATTTGCGATGGAATCGCCACCAACAGTAGCCAGGACCTCCAAAAGCACCAGGCAGAGCTCATCTCTGAAATGCTACTTGGGGTTTCACTCCCTGGGAGCACACAGTCCCCAGAAATTTGGGGAGATTGGCCCTCTGGTCTAAGCAAAACAGCAGTAGGCTTCATCTTTCTCACTTTGAAACCATCCTCCTTCCCATCCCTTACTATCTGCCTTAGCTTTGCCACTTTAGAGACTACACAGTGTACGTTACACACTGTGTTAGCAATTTAACATCTTCCCTAACACAATGGACACGCAGCAACGCCTGCTTTGCTGGTGGGATTCCAGTAGCCCAGGAAGGGGAAGAGCAGCTATACTGGTAAGTACGAACAAGAAACCTTCAGTTCATGTTTGAACGCTCTGGCTCTTACTTCCCTACAGTGAAACAACATAGTTTTTCAGCTCTCGAGCTGGGTGAGGAATACCTGCTGGATGAGATGCTCAGGTTGCCAATGAGGCCACCCGGACCCCCAAATTTGCTCCCCACACTCGCTCCACGCAGGCACCGCAGCCCCAAGACAAAGGTGCAGCCGCATGTGCCCAAGATTTGGACTTTGTGCTTTTTCTGAGATGAACAAACAAGGTAACCTGGGGTTATCAACACCGCGGTGTCTGTCACTGTTAAGTCAGTGCGTCTGCCAGATTTGCTTTCCAAACAAGCCTTTGGCCAGAGCGTGGAAAAAAAAACCCAAAAACGCACCGTCGGTACCGTTCGAACAAGCAATCGTGCGTGCCTCACACATGATGGGGGCAGCGCGTTATTACTTCATTTCAGTGACATATTTCATCCCCAAGCGCACCATAACGCTTTGAGTTGTTTGGGCAGGGAAGTCTTAGCATGGCACAGACACAGGTAAGTTAGAAGACGTGAAAGCTTGAGGATTTGGGGTTTTACCTTCTCTGCTACTCCGTCTTCTCCACCGGTGAAGAAATCTGTTTTACGCCTCAGGAAACTAAAGAATGTGTTCACGAGCTGACAGAGGAAAGAGGGAGGGTGGGTGGGAGAAAGGGAAGAGGGAAAAAAGAGCAATTAGACCATATGACTCCAAACCACCTCGCATCTCTTGAGCGGCCTTTATTCTTTGTACTCCCCATCCGCGTCCATGCCGGGACCATACTGAAATCAGTCCTGCAACTGTTTCCCGAGGAAATACCCAGTGGGGTTTGTGGAGATCCAGCTCCTGGCATCCCAGTTTTCAGAAGAGGCATTTGCGTGGTTTACACGAAGAAATGGCAGTTTACCCTCGGGTCCCCTTGGAGGTACCTAGCCGATAACTCACAATGCTCTTTAGATCCATCTGAGGCAGGAATCTGGGTATGTATGTATACACACAGATACACACGTATGTATACAGGTATACACCTATACCACATTTTGCTTCTTGGCCCACCTAAACCTTCACACTGTGCAAACTCACCCTCCCCTCCGAATTAGCAGTTATGAACTGGCACCCCCAAACATCCCTGGGGAAATCCATACTCAGTGGACTTGGCTTATCGTTATTTCCCAAAAATTGCACTGTCAGTATTTCAGCCAGAGGATTCACTACAGCACGAGAAGCACTTATTAGCACTGCTTCCCCAAACTATTCCTGTGGGGGATGTTTCCACACCCTCCAGCCCTCCCTCAGGTCCCACCCAACCTCTCTGAGCGCCCAAAAAGTCAGCAGAGCCCCGACCACGAGCAGGGGACCCACGTCCACGGTCAAACACACTTCGTGGTCGAACCTAACTGCACCAAGGTCTCAGGGGGCCGCTACCAGGTGGTTGTGGTGGGGAAGCGGGCAGAGGGACTCGATCCTCCCCTGCCCTGCGGTGTTTTGCTTTGCCCTGACCGGACACGGGCGCTGCCTGCGCACACCGAAACCCCCGGCGGGGC